AGTTATCTATTGGCACCTATGTGCGATCTACCAAAGTAGAATTAGCCTCACTGCTTCTTCTCAATCTACTACAAATATCGAATACACAGTTCATTAGCCAGGATCTACAACCTGTCATGATCTATTTTATATTTTATTTCAACTAAACTACTTGTCAGTTCATACCTATTTATTTACTTCTTCTAGCATTATGTTTAATCATTTTTTGAACTTATTTTACCACTTTGTTTTATTCTTTTTTCCTATATATTAGGAAGTTTGAAAGGTGTTAAATAACTAATGAAAAAGTGTTAATCTATATTGGGTTTGTTAAACTATACTTTTTATTAATAAAATTAGTATTAAATAACACTTTATATATTAAACAACTTTAGTTATTTAACTGTATATCATGCCAACAAACATGATATACAGTTAAATAACTAAAGTTGTTTAATACATAAATTGTTATTTAATACTAATTTTATTAATAAAAAGTGTAATTTAACAAACCCAATATAGGTTAACACTTTTTCATTAGTTATTTAATACCTTTCAAACTTCCTAATATATCTTTATTTTTATTGGTAGAAAGTAGATCTTCTGGTTTTTTTTTCATATTTTTTCTTTGATTTAAAGCCATTTGGGGCACTTCTCTTTTTTCTTTTTTTCTTGGGGTCAATATACAGTTCTTTTTTCTAGTTTGCTACTTTGATATATCTTTGTAGCCAGATTATATCTTGGTAGAATATGTACTATTTGTCTTACTATTTCAATATTATTGCCTTCAAGCTTCACTTCAGAATACCTATTGATTGAAATAGTATTGTTACTTCTGTCTCAATTAGCTCTCTTGCTATTTTCTTTCTTTTTTATAGGTTTTCTTCTTTTTCTTTACTTATAAGAGCTTGATATAGAATGTCTGAGAAGAGTTTCTTCTTTATATATAAATCTAGATTGTTTCAAAAATTTTTCATGACTTTTTGCTTTTTATTTAACTACTTTGCTATATTAGCCTTGCAAATGAATAAGTAGTTAAAATTTTCTTTCTCTTGTCTACACTTTTTATATATCGTATATTTCTAAAAATAAGCTACTCTGAAAATAAGCTACCCTCTCTTTTCTTGAAAAAGGAATATAAGAAACTTTTTATTCCAAAAATAAGCTACTCCCGATAATTTTTAAATTCTAAAAGAAGTTTCTATATAAAAAAGTCAAAATTCTATTAAGTAAATTGATAAAAGTTACTTAATAGGAGTTGTTCAAAATATAAAAATACATATATTTTAAAAGTTTTAAGCAAATCAGTGAACTTTTTACTAAGATGTTTTTATATTTTATATTCAAATGTAAAATGCAAAAACATCTTAGTAAAAAGTTCTCTCATTTGTTTAAAACTTTCAGGATACAGTCAGACTCTCCTAAATACATCCTATTTAAATGCAGCATCTCTCTAAATATGTGTCTTCTTTTGGGCCTAACTAATATTACATCTATAGATTTTTATTTTTCTAAATATAATACCTTTTTAAATATATATACTAGAGCTAGTTCTAACAATATGCATTTAGAGAAATCTAATTGTATGTGTATTATTACATTCTGAACAACTCCTGTTAAGTGATTTTTATCGATTTACTTGTCAACATTTATAATGATAAAATTATCTGTAGATCAAGTATTATATGTGACATATGTTTTTCATATATATCTTTCATATATCTGATATAGGGTGAAAATTAATATAATTTTGCGCAAATTTGTGTAAGTTTCTGAATTCAAAATTATATATGTGAATAGCATTGGCCAGAGCTTTCATAGAGCCGGCACATAAAGTTTAGTAATAGTGACAAAACTTTTATACCATTGCACTATTTAATGTAAAAGTCATATATAAGTACACGCATATGTACAATTTTACAAAAACTGAATCGGTCGAAAAATCATTCGGCTAATTTTTATCAGGTTTCAGGGTCATTTACTATTTATTTTTTGACATTTCATATTGTAAAATCATATAGATATTATCTAACCCATCTTGACATTATCTATATAATTTTACAATAAGAAATGTCAAAAAAACGAATAGTAAATGATGCATTCCATAGTCAAAATACTCCAATTTCATAAATTCTCCGCAATGTTTGGGTTTAGATCAAATCCTGACAATAACGATAAGAATTTTGCCAGGGTGAAAATCCCAATAAAGTTAGCCAGTGTTAGTTTAATTCTGGCCAGTTTTTTCGGAGGAACCGTTGAAATCGTTACACAATTGATGAAATTTTTTTTATATTATTTTACAATACTTTTTCGGAAGGCTCGCTTGACTTATCTTTTCTATGAATATTGAAAATGGTTAAACAAACATGAAGCTCTCACTTTACTTTACAACATATTTTTTGAATCCTCTTGAGTCCCATGGTTTCATCTTTTTGTAAATTTCGCAATTCGATTGGTCCGTAGTGATATTTTGACTGGTCGATACAATGAGTGATCTGTGTAACTGAGAATGAAAATTTGGACGGTTTCTCCTGTTATATTACCATTGTGACAACAATGATAATACGCAGGATTCATAAAATCGCGAAATTCCTTTATTTTTTTCATTTCTTTACTTTAGTCCTCTGAAAAAATTGTTGCAGCTATATAAATGTTTGAAAAAATGAGACATAAAAATGGATCGTTCAAAATACGATCACTGTCTAGCTGTCTACAAACCCCATCAATAAACCTGAAAGCCTAAACTTTAAATATTGGATTTCTATTATCTTTTCAAAATAAATGTCTAATCAAGAAATTGATCAAGATTAGTTACTATTTTGATTAACAAAATCTGGAAGTGCAGACCATCTTTTTTAAAAAGTTGTTCTTCAATTAATTTCATTAACTATTCAATTAAAGCTATTATTTAGGTGGACCTTATGTTGACTCAGGTTGGTCCAGGTTAATAGGTTATATGGAAAATCATAAAGATTTTAGAGTTAAAACTAACATAAAGTTGATTTGACAATTGTATTATCTAGATCAATAGTTAATATATTACTTTTGAGAATTTAAAGAGTAGAGTTTATAGAATTTTATAATTTTTATTTTTTTTTTTATGTTAATGGTGAGACCTTGCTCTTATCTTTTATTAAATTTAATAAAAATTTCTTACAAAATCAGAAAAAATTTTATTGTATAAACCTAATACTAAGAATAAGAACTTAGACATAGGGTTCTAATGAACCCAAACTGAGGCTAAACTATAGACAAGTCTGAGTTCAGTTCAAAATTTGAACTGAATGCGAGCTTAAAGTATTTAAAGCTCAGTTTGGTTCAGGTTCAAATATCAAACTTTTGGGTCTGGTTTGAGTCCAGTCCAAAAGTTTGCAAACATATTTGAAAGTTCAAAACCCAGTTGAGGTTCATTTACTAATCCGCTTACTAAAATTCTAAAAATTTTTTTGTATCATACAACTTGCTAGTATATATTTCTTGTAAATTTAATTGCTTAATTAGTTCTGGTAATAATAATATTAATAAAAAAAAAAATTGAGCAGAAACATCATATTTATTAAAATTATATAAGCAAAAAAAGAAAAATGAGTATTCATTAGTTGGTTATTCAGGTCACACCATGTGGAGGTCAATGCTCAAGTAACCCATGTACTACACTTTGGTGGAATTGGAATTAAGAAAATATATAAAGAGAGGTGTATATACAAGTAACTTAAAATATAATCCACTTGCCGTTAGCCCCAATGTGATAAACACATGAATGAAAATTGGTTCTACTCAACAAGAGAACCATATTCCTAGACTCATTGGATACTTTTTTTGCAGCATAGAAGAATGCACCCATGAAAGGACCTACTACAATGCTAATAGTGAAGTGTCTAGTATTCTTTGCACAACAGTCTTATGTGCAAAGATGACTTCTTTATCTAAAAATTTAAAAATGTGCACTTAAAAAGGTGTTACTGTATGTAATATAGAAAACAATAATTAATTACATATTGAGCACAAAGATGAGTAGTTCTTGTATTCAATCACAATGGTGATTTTGGCGATTCAGCATACAATATCTATATCCCCATTACCAGAACCACTATAGAATAAATAATAAATATATAGTGAATATTTGTGTTATTATCATCAATCAACAAAGACCACATGGCCAGAATAGTTGACAGATACATGCTTAAATGCCAGAGTATATTTTATTTACCAACTTTTCAGAAGAACACTTCCTAATACAGAAAGTGTCTCTCTAATGCAAAGAGAGCCAATTAAGCTACAGGAACTTCCATAACTAATAGAGAAGAACATTAATTATCAAAATAATCACCATGATTAGCTTTCAATTCTCTATCAGATTTTATTACACAGATGTAGCAGTGTAATTTCAGATATACTATGACTCAACAAATAATCAATGAGAAAACTCACCCAGTGTATACATATTGCATATTCCCTGTTAAATCTCAAAGTCTCCTAACTCTTTTGAAACGCATTCTTCTAAATACATCTATAATATCAAATTCAAGAATTCTTCCTAATACTCTGGTGTTAAGTTCTACGAGAACACTAATGACTTGTCTTTCTATATTCGCCATTTTTTTGTAAAAAAAAAATCAGAAAAAATTAAGTATTTTACAGGTCATATACGTATACGTGTGATATATATATCTGATAAACTCGGATTAATCAGTAAAGCAATATTTTCATATATATCGTTTACCAATTCGGTGTGTCACTGGTACGAGAATTTTCTTTAAAAATTAGCAATTCTCGATTCATACTCATTTTATTATTACAAATTTATCCCATTGAACTCTTGCTGATTCAGCCTACATAAAGAATATACAGTGAAATTTGTGAAATGACAGTGTACTGTAACTTACTCATGCCTCAACATTTTCGTTTCTGCATTGTGTATATCATTAAGCGGAACGTTTTTATTGGTGAAGATCATGCACTTCAAATTTTGTATAAATATGATAATCGGATATTACTGCTGATTGAACAATTTTGGTACTATGAACGGTGAAGAAACCGATTCTCATAGCAGCAGTGACTTCGGTGATTTGGAATTTAATAGTGAAGTTAGTTATGGTAAAATTGCTTAAACTTACGAAGTTTACTGTAATAAAGGCGATAATAATGTTTCAAATGTTTTCGTCATATATCTTGTAATATACACTAAAAAAGTTCATTTTCACTTATCATTCTAGAATCAACGCGTTCTTCATCCTCAGATACTTCTCAATCCCATTTTTGGCACCAACAATTCATCAAAATTGATCTTAAAAAGATTAATCTCATCAACGGAAAGCAAATCTTTTCTGATATTCCAAAGCTTTCTCTAATTTTGCGATTTATTACGAATGAATTATGTATCACTTCGAATGTCACATTGAATGAAATAGTGATTCCGTTAAATCAACTTAAGAAACTTAAAATATCGCAAGAAAGAGAAGTACTCGTGGATTTTAGAAAGAATTTTGAAAGAGTTGTATGTCATTTTCATTAATTTATATTAAGTTTATCTTATCTTAACGTAGATTTGTTAATATAGCTTTCATTTATCAGAATTATAATTATCCACAAGGACTTTTAAATCTTAGAATTCATTTGCCTTTCGATCCGGCTGGAGGTGACTTAAATGATGTCACGTCCCTCTTATTCGTGCCGGCTGATTGGGTGGATAATAATACTTTAATATTTTTTGGTGAAGGTGTCAAAAAATTGTGGGTAACTCAGGTAAATTATATTTACAATTTTCTCTGTATTTTTTTATCTTTTATTTCATATAATAATTTCAATGGCTGTAAAAGGTAAATGAAAATAATTTTAAAAAACTGGATAATAGTAGCAATAAAACTAGTGATAATGAAGAAGTAAGTTTTTTGTTAAATTCAAATAGTTTTTTACTTTATTGAATTACTGTATCTGACATTGGAATCAGCTCCAGATCGCCTGCAACTTTCTTTCAAAAAAATTTATTATTAATGTGGCGATGGAGACTAAATTTAAAGACATACTTGCATGTAGTGGGTATAAATTTTAAATATTTATATTTTATTTTGAGAATTTATATTTGATTATTTATTTATTTATTTTTTTTTTTTAGTTCATGAAAGATATAAGGTTGATATTAATCCAAATCGTGTGACATATAAAAATTTGTCAAATGATATTATTACTCTAATTGATGAAGAAGATTGGAATGCGGTAAAGTGGGAAGCAAGGAGATCGCAAATTTATCACATTTCAATGTTTTTCTCTTGATGATATTGAACATTCATCGAATATGGTTGTTTTTTTGAACAAGATTGATTCATTAAATTTAGATACTATGATTAGAATATGAAGTCTATAAAAATAACTGCTTTTATATTAATTCGAAAAGATATAATTGGATGAAATAATCGAAAAAAAACTTTTGCTTAATTAGTAAGTAACTGCATAGATATTTAAAAGCTGTTTCGATTGTGGAAATTATTGCTAGCAATTATTCTCAAGCTTTCTACCCTAAAAAAAAATTTTTTTTTTTATTGTAACATAATAGATGAAACATTTAATTTATTAGCGAGAGTCTTGTATTAGCATGAAAATGGATAGCGCTAACATGTATATGTACGAGTAGCCCTTTTTTTCTGATATTTTTGATATGCACTATCTTAAAAAAAATTATTAGGGGTATGTCATTTGATAGCTAATATACTTCATAAAAAGGCTTATTCAATACAGTACTTCAGCCAACAATAAGGGCATCAGAATTTTCTGATCACATAATAATAAGCAGCAGATTTGGACAACAAACTATTGAAGTTGGTTCAAAGTTTCCAATTTGGCGGGGTAAGGTTGTACTGTACTAATGGTAATAGTAAAGACAGTTTTTTTCCTCGTTATTTATTCGTCATCACGTGATCGGAAAATAAGCTAACGTAATCTTGGCAGTAAAATTTGATTTAAAAAATATTAAGCTAATAAATGTTTTATATCTTAGAGTTGTGCCTATTCGTATATAGTATTTAACGATGTATATTACAGTATTATATATTGTAATAATTATATGCATAAATAATAATATATATTGTATTAAGAATGTCATTATTACATATTGCTTCGAAGTGTTTTGACAATTTTTGTGTGAACATAATATGATTGGTCATCCTTTCAACGTTTACATTGCCTAAATAATAGTTCTATAACAAATCAAAATACATCAAAAATACATGAAAGCATATTTAGGGTATGACATTTTTTAATTATTTATAAATTTATTTAACATTTTATCTTAATTCCATCAAACTTTTGCTTAAATTATTCTAATAATGTATCCTGTTTCTAATTAATTTATCAAAATGATTAAAAACAAAATTTAATTTAGCCTAAATTACGAAATTTACATAGTAAACAATATATAATAATAAGAAATTATTTAAATATTCAGTGTTATGTATATCTATCCATTCGTATTATCTTCCATTAAATCTAAACATTAACAAAATAACAAGCATATTAACTAAAGACTTTATGCATATTTCGTATTATAAAATATTTAACATACCACGTTCATTATTTGACATAATACTACCGTTAATCGATTTTGCATCTAAGAAAATAAAAATTTTTAATTTATTTGACACTATAATAAGCAAAAAACAAAAGCTCTAAGAGCTTATTTCGGTTTACCACTATCATCTTGGAATTCATCCAAAAGTCTCTCCACTTCTTGTATAGAAAAGCGATCGTCATCGTCTTCAGAAATAAAAGACCCAGGTGACAAGCTTCTACGTACTCTACTTGTGGATCTTCCAGACTCTACTGATATAAAAGAATCCGGCGAGGAGCTTCTCGTAACAACAACTAATCCCGTACTTTCTTGAGAAGGCGATCTTCGTCTAGACCATAGATCGCTATTTCGTCTAGAACTTGTTGTTCTTACGTCCAAAGATGATCCCATTGGGCTTAAAGATTGTGATACGTTATACGATTTGCGACGATCAGTCGACGGTCTTTTACCAAAAAGACTTGCAAATTTCATTCCATCTGACATTAGTGAATTAAATATTTCACGTCCTAATCCTTTTTGTCGTTCTTCAACAGGCTCAACTAACTGGAATGTTGCTGCGAAACCGGTATCGAAAAAATTTTCTAAATATTCATCCGACAAAACCACCTCACGGAATAACGGAAGTGCCAATACAGTATCATCATCGTCCTCTGTGGATGAAGTATCGCTATTATTTGAATCTAATGATTTTTCAGAAGAATAAGATCTTATAAATGCAATCTTGGTGAAGTTTGAAACCGACCCAAGATTTTCATCGTCTTTTCGAAATCGGAATATGAATAAAAAGCTTTCTGACATCTGTAAAATTTCCTCTCTCGATAGGAATCCATCTTTATTCGTATCATGTAAATTAAAAAATAATTCTATTCGTGATAATATATCTCCAAATTTAATTTCACCAAGTCCTAAAACAACATCTTGAAGTGATATTCCACCGGATGATGATCTATCAAAATATTCAAATAGCTTATTGATAATTTTATAACCGACGAGTCTATGTCCTTGACTATCCCTGAGCACAGTATCATTATTACTAAATAAATCATTGTCATCCAATTTTGCCCAATCAGCAATACTTCCTAAAAAACTATAAAATGTACTTAGATTCATTCGTGAATCATTCCGTGAATCATTTTTTTGTTTTCCATAAAATTGTGCTGTAGAAAATTTGTCATAAATAATGGAGATGTCTTCTTTAGAAAATTTTAAAGTATTTTGAAGATTTCGTATTATGCTCCTTTTTGTAAAACTCTCAATGTTATGGACTACTTTGAGTTGATGAGTTTTTCGAAGTTCGATTAAACTTTCAGTTGTAACACTCTCAAATTCTTTAAAAGCGACAACCATTAGCTCGTTAAATTTAGTTATCTCTCTCATTTTTGGATTTTTATTGTCTGGATGTGCAGGTTTGTCCAATGTTGAAAAGTAATTTTTCAGCACATTAATAAACGCCCCATCATCAGTAATTCCTAATAGTTCTTTTTTATTCACCTTAAGAATTGCTAGAATATATTTACAACAAGCTTATATTAGGCTCATTTTAAGACTTCTATAAAGTTAATCTAAAATTTTTAGAAATAACATACCCAGTCTATTCGTAACAAATCAAAATTTAACATAATTTTTTAAAAAAAGATGTTAGCATTAAAATAATAATTTATGGTGGAAAGATTAAGTTAACATATTACCCTATTTGGAATAAAACCTTGGGACCTTCCATGAAGAAACAATCAAGCACTCGAAAGGCGTAAGTGAGAGGCATCGAATTTATGTAAAGACTTAAAAACCATGGAAAGCAAGCAACTGTTAACTGAACATCTACGTTTTGAAAATGACTATAGAGCGATGGCATCTTCATTTGAACATAATGATCGAATATCATTTGGTCAAGAATCGCGCCATACATAGAAGTGCTTTAAATTATAGCAGAAGAAATAATTCACAAATCAAAATTACATAATTTGAAATATTATAAAAAATCACCTATGAATAATCTCAAACCTGTAATATCCAGGTAGCATTCTATCACATAATACACTCAGAATCCAAAATGCTTGTTCCTCATTCATATATCTAAAATGAGGAAACTTGTTAGAAAAGAAAGAGTGAATATGATTAAGTTACTACACTTACATCAATAGAGCTGATACGACAATATTCATTGCCTGACAATATCCTAATTCAGGATCCTTCCAAGAATAAGCAGTCAATACACGTCTTAACTTATTGATACCTTCAGGTTTCTGGTATGCAGGATATTCGGGAAGTGACCTGATAATATAAAAGGTAAAATTTAGAATTTAGGAATAAAAAATATCCATAAAAATCTTAATTTACCTGTTCAAATCTTTTTCAATTTCTTCTGTGGAGAGAGAAGATTTACCCGAATAATCTTTATGAAGTTTATCATATAAACCATCATTTATGAATCTCAAATACATTGCACCAGAACATAATTCCCACATTTCTCCGCGCAGTTTGTTTGGTAACCCAGCACGAACCAGTTTTTGAAAATCTGGAAGTTTAATAAGAGTCAAGTTTCGACCATTGGCTGATAAAAAAAAAAAAAAGCATCAATCAGAATTTTCTTTTTCTTTTTTTTTTTGTGCATAAAATCGTTGAAAGAGACATGTACAGGTTTTGTATACCAATTTCGGACATTATAGCAATCAAATTCGGACATTATAGCAATCAAATTCAAACATAGTAGCAATCAAATTCAGACATAGTAGCAATCAAATTCAAACATAGTAGCAATCAAATTTGGACATTCTAGCA